TATAATTATTATTATTATATTTAACCATATCTAAACATAATTATTAATCTTTCGGCTGATTTTTAAATATATATATAATTATTATTATTATATTTAACCATATCTAAACATAATTATTAATCTTTCGGCTGATTTTTAAATATATATATATATATATATATATATATATATATATATATATATATATATATATATATATATATATATATATATATATATATATATATATATATATATATATATATATATATATATATATATATATATATATATATATATATATATATATATAAAAAAAAATAAAAAAAAAATAAAAATAAAAAAAAATAATAAATATATATATATATATATATATATATATATATATATATATATATATATATATATATATATATATATACATATATATAGTTTTTTATATTTCATAAACAAGAGTGAAATTTAATTTTGATTTGGAGAATTTATACATAAATCAGTGTTTTATTAGTCAACAAGCTGAATGGTATCTGTTAGCTATATATAGATATTTATATCTATCTATCTATCTATATATATATATATATATATATATATATATGTAACATTGTATAATAGTAAAAGTTAAGTAAAAGTTACCTCAAAATAAAAATAGTCCATTATAAATGTACTTAAAAGTCCCCTTAAAACCAAAATCAGTCTTTAGCTCTGGGGTGTCAAACTCCTTTTAGCTCAGGGGCCACATGGAGGAAAATCTATTCCCAAGCGGGCGGACCAGTAAAATCATGGCAAATATAACTTAAAAACGTCAACTTCAGATTGGTTTCTTTGTTTTGATATGTTCAACATAAAACATAAAGCTGGAGGGTGAGGACAACACCATCTCACAGAAATGAATAACTTTTTGATTTAGTTGCTTATTCATATGGATTCATACAGTCTCATTCGTACAATTTAGTACGATTTGCTTGTCCACCAATGATAGTTGGGTTTAGGGGTGTGGGTGCCACGCCTCTTTTTTTAAATTGCACATTTTCGTATGACTGAACTTGTACGAATTAGCCACAAAACTGACAAAATGTGAAATGGTTACTTTCCTTGTGAGAACAGCTCAGTTTGGTACGGCAGGGCATAGATGTGGTCTTTTTCTCTGAGAAGGCTGTACTCCAGTGGAAATAATGAACTTGCATGAGCTTGCCTTATGCCGAGTTCACACTGCCTGATTTTCAAAGTAGTCGTGTCACAGATGTTTTCACACTGCATGACTATCTGCACTAGCGTTTCGTCGCTGCTTTGTTTACACTGCAAGATGGATCGGCGACAGGGGCTTTCACATTGCATGACTTTACTATAGGAAGAATCGCCGACAACTTCGTCCAAACTACGTCTCACAGCCAAAAACACGTAGTATATCTTTTATTATTAACTACATAATGAGAAAGAAGCCTTTAATGGGGTAGAACATGAACATGTTTGCTCACCTGGGTTTAAAGGAATCAGCCATTTCTCCTCAACGTTGATAATAAACTAATTTCTTTCTGTATGAAATGTCAAACAGACACGGGTGCTCCTGAGTCCTGTCAAACCTCCACTAGTTTTTCCTCCATTTCGTGGGTCCAAATAAACCGAAAATGAGCGCTTTAAACTTCTCCCCCAGCCTCCCGCTGGCCTGCAGCAGGAATACACACACAGACACACACACAAGTGAATGCCGCTCTCTCATTGGCTGTAGGCGATGGCTGATGTTTCAGTCAAAACTCAATTCACACGGCATGATTTGAATCGCCGACAGCTCCAGATATTCAGCACACCAAATATCTCGCAGGCATCGGCGACTCATCGGCGATTCTCTCAGATTGCGTCTTTGAAAGTTCATATTGTGTGATTGTCACTCATGTGCACGAGCACCGATTTGCCTGTGATTTCAGGCATTTGTCTGCGATTTCTCAAAACCTGTCGGCGAGCCAAAATCGGGGTTAAAATCACGCAGTCTGAACTAAGCATTAGTCAATAGCCTTAGTCATAGTTAATCAAGTGTGCGTGATGATTAGTCTCAATGACAAACTAGCGCCCAGTTTAGTTGCAGCAGTTTTGCTCCGTGCAGAAACACGGTGTTGAGAAGCCTTTACGATTAATTAACCATGACGAATTAAAGCGCGGTTAACAGTGAAACCAGTTATTCGTTGCATCCCTAACCCCAACCGTCACAGTAATGTAACAACAGATATGTAGCTTGTAGCGGTAGTTCCACCAGGAAGACCTAAATACCGCCGGCAGCTAGCTCTCTGCAACTCTCACATGGTCGCCCACTGAAGCTAAGCAGGGCTGCGCCTGGTCAGTACCTGGATGGGAGACCATATGGGAAAGCTAGGTTGCTGCCGAAAGTGGTGTTAGTGAGGCCAGCAGGGGGCGCCCAACCTGCGGTCTGTGTGGGTCCTAATGCCCCAGTATAGTGACGGGGACGATATACTGCTCAGTGAGCGCCGTCTTTCGGATGAGATGTTAAGCCGAGGTCCCGACTCTCTGTGGTCATTAAAAATCCCAGGATGTCCTTCGAAAAGAGTAGGGGTTTAACCCCGGCATCCTGGCCAAATCTGCCCACTGGCCTCTGTCCATCATGGCCTCCTAAACATCCCCATATTCCAATTGGCTTCATCACTGTCTCCTCTCCACCAATCAAAGTGTGGTGTGCGGTCTGGCGCAAAATGGCTGCCGTCGCGTCATCCAGGTGGATGCTGCACACTGGTGGTGGATGAGGAGATTCCCCCATTGTGTGTAAAGCGCTTTGAGTGCCCAGAAAAGCGCTATATATAATGTAAGGAGTTATTAAAAAAAATATATATATTATTACTAAATGTCATGTCACTCATCACAATCAGTTCCAACCAATAGCCAAGAGACACAAGGAATCAACTCATTCTGAAAACGTAGTCCAGCGGACATGTCTGGAGACCGCGAAATACGTCCCGGGAGGTACGTATTTGTGCAGTTTTTGTTTTCACGAATCCGCGAGAGGCTGCTGTGCGCGCCTTTTTGTATCTTGAACGTCTCTCGTGACGTCAATGTCTCGCGTCATCCCACCAGAGGCCGCTGTCTGACTGACCGAATGATTGACTGCGCAACCAGCCAATCGGCTGACCAACCCTCCTCCTTCCCTGAACCCAACCAGTTTTACCGATTGACCCGCCCGCCCGCTCTCTTCCCTAAACCCGAGCAACAATTTAGAAAAGCCACCTAGAAAAAGAAAAACCCTCGTCTGTTTTTCGGATTTCACCACGTGCTCACCCTGTTATGAACTCGTTCGCTTTATTTTTTGGATTCTGTTTTTGTCTTACCTGGTTTCTGGAACCGCTCTTCCCCGGACTCGAACCCAGACGTCTTTGTCAACTCCTCCTCCCTGCATCTGAAGTCCGCCGACGCACAAGATGAGCTGACCGGACAAACTGACTGCAGCGGGAAAGCCCTCCACATGGAGGTAAGCGGTCAGCCGGCAAGCATGAAAGGGAACGGCGTCACACCGCCCCGTAGCGTTCGCTTAAAAAATTAAATCCAGCCATACATACCTCCCGGGACGTATTTCGCGGTCTCCAGAAACGTCCGCTGGACTACGTTTTCAGAATGAGCCTGGGTTGCAAGGAATTTATAAGCTGTACATTCATTTCATTCATTTGGTTGCAGGCACCGAGGCAGACGTTGCTGGATCTAAAAGCTTTCAAACCAAGCTATGGACAGGGCCTCGGCCAAAGAAATCCTGTTTCATGATACTCTCGTCAAACAATACTCTGGAGTGTATTAGTATAGCTGATTAACCATGTGGATGGATGATAACAGCCTTCTGCACTTACCAGTAGGCGCAGAAGGCCCCTACTGGCCCATATCTATCAGCTGATAACCACTGATAACATTCGAAGCAGGTGTCTTAATCATGCAATGTTTTTTTTTATGTATATTAAGTTGCTGATGTGGCAATAAGCAAACAAACAAAAGCTTTGCGTACGTTCAACAGCATTGTCCAAATGACTCCTGCTTTGAGTTTGTGTGCTTGTAATTGTGTTGCTGATTGCGCTGCGTGTGTGTTTCTGTGTGTGTTCAGTGGATGGAGGCTGGAGTGAGTGGAGTAAATGGTCTCCATGTGGAGCCGACTGCAGTATGTGGAGGAGCAGGGAATGCACACAACCAACACCCGGCACCGGTGGGAAAGACTGCCAGGGCCTGGATCTGCAGTCACTGAACTGTACCAGCGAACAATGCCCGCAGAGTGAGTACCAACACCTTTAGCTCTTCGATAAAGGGGATTTATTATGCTGAAATCACTTTAATAAGGGGTTGTGTGTCAGCAGTGTGTAACAGCCTCTAATGGAAAAATTTATTAATTGTGTTGTTTATAATTAGATAATAAACCCATTTGTGCATGTCATCAGAGGGGGAAAGCCCCGCCCACTAGTGCCCATTTCTTCATCATTAGCATAAAAAACAGCCCTGAGTGAGAAGCAGGCATCTGTGCATTAGCCATTACGCCTGTTTCACACCGCAAGAGAAAGCAGAGGGTGAGCAGCGCGTGCGCAGCGCATATGGAGAGCAGAAGCAGCACGCAGGCGTTTGCCTTTCACATCTGCTACGTCTGTTTCTGGATGGATCAGATATCAGAGCAATTTAATAACGTTATTAATATGAGCTCAAGAAGTTCGTTATTTTAAATATAGACGCGATCGTGAGCTCTCTGGAGAAAGTGAAAGGCTTTTAGACGGGCTCATAAAAAACAACAGGACATGACAGATTTTGCTCTTCTTGGCTTTGTGGCTGTTCATCAAGATGACGACAAGGTCTGTTTGAGCTTGGGTCGACCATGGCTTGTTATTATATGTATATATTATTACGGTGTAATGTCTCGGCTTTGTTTTTGAAAATGGCGCTTCCTTTGCTTTTCATTTTCCTGCTTCTGTGAGTGTTGTATCTCTGTAAACCAATAGCGTTCACCCAGGGCCGGAGCAAGCTGAACTGCCGCTCTAGGCAGAGGACGATCACGCCACCCTCAACCCCAATGTGAAAACGAAAGTGACCGGTTATGAAAATGAAGTGAGGTGACGCTGGCCTCTATTCTGCCGCCCTATGCGCGGATATAACTGAGGACGCTGGTGGTGAGGGAAGTGTCGCGGACATAAGTCAAGTCAGGTCAACTTTATTGTCAATCAAACCATGCAACAGTACACTACACAGCAGACTGAAATTGTGTTTCTCCCATACCAATGTGCAACTTAAAACAAGATATGACACACACTAAACGATAACTAAACATTTAGCTAATATAGTACAATAGAAATTGAATAAATAGAATAGCGTTGCTATTTTGAGAAACTAAAATAGATTTTTCATTAGACCAAAACTAACCCGGTCTAAACTCCGGCGCAGAGTTGCGCCTCGCTTACACACTGCTTAATACACACAAGAGAGCAATAGGCAAATATCTTTACATATGAAAAAAATAAATATTAAGGATATATATAGGATATAATAAGAATAGATATAGGATATAAATATAAAGGATTAAAATATTACAAAACATATTATTTTCTAGCCTACATAAATATGAAAAATCACTGCTTTTATGTGTTCTTCATCTCGGGAGGCTTTTTCAGTTCATTCATAACAATTTGCTTTTGTATAATGTTATTATTATTAGCAGTATTATTTATTATATCCATATTTATATTTGTTTTATTAAAAACAAGCTTAGATTTGCCCACCTGTCAGGTTTTAGACCATATGGGGCACAGCATGTGTTTTAGGATACAGCTCAGGTTTTTGAGCACACTTCATTATTATTGTTCATTTATTTGTTTGCTGGAAATTAGAACTGAATTTAGAAATAGTTTTGAAACGAATATTTGCGCTTAACAAACAAAAGTATTTATTTATAGGCTAATTGATGTCTGTGCGTAAAGGTTTCCCTTTCCAAGAGCGAAAGTGAAAGTGATCCATTATCTCTCATTCTCACGCAGTAGATCCTCTGTTTAACAGTTTTCTGTTAAAAAACTGTCAACTGTAACTGTTTGCTTGTGAAATGCTCATTTTTTCCACTTAGACTTACTTTGCGTCCTGTAAATAGCGAATGTGCTCTTGGCGTGACGCAGCTGACTCTTAAAGGAAATGGGAGACGAGACTCTGATTGGTTTATTCTCAAAACACACCTATAACTCATGAAGAAAATAAACTCAACCCTTTTAGACCATGTGCCACGGCGCAAAGCGGATTTTCCCATCCTTAAATTAGCAAAAATGCATTCTGACACACCCTAAAAGCGTTTCCTTGAAAGCGTCGCTCTGCTTATGGACCGTCAAAATAGAGCCCTTATGGTGTTTATATCACCCCAAAATGACTATGGACACGTTATACCTGCACATAGCTCTGTCAAAACAGCTTACAGAAGATGATTTTCATCATAGGTGCTCTTTTACTCTTTCAGAAATGAAACAGTTGATATACTGATATGAACAATTTTGGTAACACTTTCTATTTTTATGTGTGGCTTTATTGCAGTGTGATTTAATAGCCTGTCTTGCAATTCTGGCTTACGTCTGACCAAATATTCCCCAGAAATGTGACTTTATTTCTCTCAATTGCTGTCAGGCTCTATTAATCAGATTTTATTATTCATAATTCAGATTCCTCAGAAATTTGACAAATTCTTGCAATAATATCGAACTCATCAGAAGTGATCAGAGCCAAAATAACAGCACCGTCGTCTTTGCAGATCTTCTTCACAGCAGAATTTGTCTCCTTGATTTCTGTCGATTGCTGTGAAGCTGCTTTGTAGCAGCGTGAATCACGATATAAATAAAGGTGACTTGACGTATTGATCATTAAATGTGATGTGAAGCTTGCAATGCATTACTGCGAGTCCCATTAACCACTCGACAGCATGGAAAGGGAAGGTAGGGCGCTCTGGAGGTCAACATTAGCACAGTTTGTTTAGTGTAGATGCTTTGTGTTCCTGAGGGAAGGTCACTTTTCCAGATCACAGAGCTAAAGAGGTCTAAAAATGTGTCCTGAGTTGAGTTGTGTTTGTTTTTTTCAGATCTTCTTCCTTCACGTGAGCTTTTACATTGTGTTTTCTTCAGTGTTGTGAAATGATGTTGAGTCTCTCAGTTGGCGGAGCTCCACAGGAGCAGGAGACTCACACTAAATAGATTATTTAAGTCAGTTGTTAATTTGGAAACTCACTCTGAATGGATCTGTTGAATTGGTGAGTTGTTTATTAGAGACTCACTCTGAACTGATCATTTGAGTCAGTGAGTTGTTTATTGGAGACTTGCACTGAATGGATAATTTGTATCAGTGAGTTGTTTACTGAAGATTCAATCTGAACTGATAATTTGAATCAGTGAGTTGTTTATTCAAGACTTGCACTAAATGGATCATTTCAATCAGTGAGTAGTTTACTGAAGATTCAATCTGAATGAATCCTTTGAATCAGTCAGTTGGTTATTGTAGACTGTGGCTGTTTCTCAATATGCGTTCTTCAGTGGTCTTGCGTCCTCGTGTTCTCGTGCAACGTCATCATCAGCTGCTTAAGTTCAGTTCCAATACTCAAGACCGCAAGTACGGAGTAAAACTTCCCGGATGTGATCTTGATATTGAGGACGCAACAATGCAGATTTGAGCACCGAACTCGCTCTGGAAGTCCCAGAAGTCATTGCGACTGGAGATGGGAAGCGCTGCATTTTATTTAGATTTATTATTAAAGTTCAGAGATATCACTTATTTACCTCAGGAGTTTCCCTAAATTAAACAGTGAAAGTAAACATTAGCATGGACATCTTAATAAAAGAATAAACACATTAAGGGTGTTTGTTTGCTAAAATTTGTATTAAAATCTGTTTTTATTTATACTGTGCAACGTATATTTATAATGTTTTTATGCAAAGTATATATTTTGAAAAGGGGAAAACAATAAATCGTTGTATGAGTGCTGTAATGTTTAAATAATTTTCCATTTAAAATGCGCAAAGGTCATGTGACCGTCCGGAAGAATGCAGCATCTCATTTCTCAAAAGATGCGTTCTCTGCCCTTGCGGTCTTCTGAGTTCGTTCTTCTGAGGACACCTGGTAAGACCGGCCTCCACAAGAACGCAAGTCCGTTCTCTGCCGCCTTGGAATCAAGAAACAGCCTGAGACTCCCCCTGAATGAATCATTTGAATCAGTGAGTTGTTTACTGGAGACTCACTCTGAACAGATCATTTGAATCAGTTAGTTGTTTATTGGAGATTCACTATAACTTTATTATTTGAATCGGTGAGTTGTTCACTGGAGGCTTAATCTGCACTCACCATTTGATTCATCATGTTGTTAACTGGAGATTCACTCTACACAGGTTGCTTGAATCATTTAGTTGTTTGTTGGAGACTCGCTCTGAATGAATTATTTGAATCTGAGTTGTTTACTGGAGATTCACTCTAAACTGATTATTTGAATCTTTGAGTTGTTTACTGGAGACTCTAAATTGATCAGTATAATCAGTGGATCATTTGCAGAAGTGTCACTCTGAATAGATCTTTCGAATCATTGAGTTGTTTATTGGAGACTCACACTGAACAGATCATTTGAATCAGTGAGTTGTTTATTGGAGACTCACACTGAACTGATCATTTGAGTCAGTGAGTTGTTTATTGGAGACTTGCACTGAATGGATAATTTGTATCAGTGAGTTGTTTACTGAAGATTCAATCTGAATGGCTTCTTTGAATCGGTCAGTTGTTTATTGGAGACTCACTCTGAACTGATAATTTGAGTCAGTGAATTGTTTATTGAAGACTTGCACTGTGGATCATTTGAATCAGTGAGTTGTTTACTAAAGGATCAATCTGAATGGCTCCTTTGAATCAGTCAGTTGTTTATTGGAGACTCCCTCTGAATAGATCATTAGAATCAGTGAGTTGTTTACTGGAGACTCACTCTCAACTGATCATTTGAGTCAGTGAGTTGTTTATTGTACTCTCACTCTGAATGGATCATTTGTATCAGTGAGTTGTTTATTGAAGACTTGCTCTGAGTGGATCACTTGAATAAGTGAGTTGTTTACTGAAGATTCAATCTGAATGGATCCTTTGAATCTGTCAGTTGTTTATAATAGACTGAGACTCCCTCTGAATGGATCATTTGAATCAGTGAGTTGTTTACTGGAGACTCACTCTGAACAGATCATTTGAATCAGTTAGTTGTTTATTGGAGATTCACTATAACTTTACTATTTGAATCGG